GACTGAGACAACATGCAGGGCACAGCTCCCACGAAGGGAGTCTGTTCCAGCCAACAATGTAAGGAGCAGGGGAAGGACACTGGAAGGATTCAGAGGACCCGTCCAGGTTTCCCAGGCCTCTGGCAGGCACAGATCTCAGCTCCAAACAAAGAACAGAAACTTCACAAATGGAGATGGAGCTGTGGCCTAGGTGGTCTCAGACCAGGATGATGTCACCTCCAGAAGGGGCTGGGCCTTGAACCTCCGATAGCCATCTCTGACTGGGGCCTTGGCTACACAAGGGTCACAGGGGAAACTGAATACGCCAAGAAAATCGCGTCCACCTCTCTGAGCTACAAGTCAGTAGACCATTATTCTCAAACAGAACCAGACTGAAGCAGACCCTGCATTCATGCACCCACACAGAGCTTCCTCTTCTGGAAAGCTGTGGCCCCTCTCAGGACATCAGCTTCCCTTTGGAGACAATAGAGTTATAAATGATGCCTCAGGGCAGTTTTAAAAGACCCAGCAGTCCGGCGCTGTCTTTGAAGGTTCCAGGTGCCTACTGGCGGCGGCAAGTTGGGAAAGTCTGCCACCTGGTGGTCTGTCTTGGTAGTGCCATGAAATGGGTCTGGGATCTCCCAGGTGCAGAGGTAGACCTGACTTTAACTGTATGACCTTGGGCAAGTCACTGCTCTCTCCAAGTCTCACTTTCATCGTCTAATATGTGGGACAAATGTGGCAGCCTCACAGAGTCATAATGGGCACTAGACTACACGATCACATTGCGGTATCTATCACACTTGCTGGGTGATCCTCTACAAGGCACCCAGTCAATGTATAAGTCTGTTTCCTCTTTTATACAGGGTGGGCCTTCACTCCTAGCCTGGACGGGCAGTGAGGAGACCCGGCGGGGCTGTACCCTTCGCTGGCACCTGGCCCTCCTCGGCCAGCACCTAGGTCTCCTCCCTGGGTCACTGTGGTCTCCTCAGAACAGGAGATAGAGGCAGCTTATGGCCCCAGGTTCCCCAACAACCTGCCCCCCGGCCCACTGACCCTGAGCAGACAGAAATAGGAGTAAGTTCGGGAGGGAGAGGACAAACTCATCACATCACATGGACGTGCTCTGAATCCCCTGGCAAGCCCAGAGGGTCATGCTGTTTCGTCCACTCACAGAGAGGGAGTGCGGGCCCAGAGTTTGCTAAATCACCCAAGAGCTCACCCAGCTGGTTTAAAAAAAATAGAAAATAAGGAGAGAGAGGGAAGGAGGGCTGAAAAAGAAAGAACTAGTTCTAATCTAATTAGAACTAGACCCTCTAATTAGAACTAGACCCATACCTCTGTTCTAAGCTACGTTTTCACCCCAGTATAACCCTAATTTCCTATCATTTTCCTCTATTCAATGAATTACATTCCTTTAAATGTCATTTGCGCTGCCCTCCCTACCTCCCAGTCTTTTTATAAAAAAAAAACTTACTAATGCCTACCCACAAGCCAAAAGGCCCATTGTCAAAGGCAGAGGCCTCTTCTGAGAGGGGCCCAGAATACCCCATATTTGGATGCAGGGCAGGCATAGCCCAGGCCAGGCCAACCTCTCTCAGACATGGCAAAGAGGAAAGCCAGTCTTTGGCCCAGCATCCTTCAAAGCAGCCAGGCGTAGACTCCCTAGCCCACAGCGAGAGAACCCTGCTTAGTTCCACCCCAGACACCCAAATGCCCTAGTCTACTCTTTATTAATAAGTAAAAGGTGCACCCTCTGGGCAGGTGCACCCATACAGGTGCATGGTTCTCAAGCTCCACACTGGTTGGATTTCAGGCCCCACTTGCCCCTTGATCGGGCACTTTTTTACCATACCCCAAAAGCAGTAACCCTGCCCAAATACATCACTTACCTGAGCTCCTGGAGCAAGAACTCCTCTGTTCCCAGCTGGAGTCAGCCTCAGCTCCCCAGCACCCCATCTGCAACTCCTGAAGCACAGAACCTTGCCCCCCAAGCTGCCCACCCTGAGAGCTATAAGGGAACTGTTACTTTCCTGTAAGGGGGATTGTTACAGGCGTGAAGGAAGGCAATTGACATGCCAGACCTGGCCTCAGATTTCAGTTTGGCCTCTGGTCTTCTTTCATCGATTCTTGCTGCCATCACCACATTGACTTTGGGGAACTCTGCTCTCCACTTTCAAGGCTCCAGGCCAAGTGTGCTCACCTGACCATACCCTGGCCAGGCAGGCTGCCGTGTTCAGACCAGCCTTGAGGAAAGATTTCCCAGTAACAACACAGAATGCGGTAGCCGTCTAGCGTCCTCCTACCTTGTGGGACCAGCCAGTGCAAGTACTAGAGGGTGTGTTGCTTGAGGAGAGGTGAGTGCTGTGACACAATGCACCTCAGAGCTGCGAGCCTACAGCCTGTATTACTTGGAGCTGGTTAGAAATGCAAATCCCCAGGCCCCACCCCAGACTTACAGATTTAAATTCTTGGGGAAGTGGAGCTGAAACCTAGTTTTTTAAACCTCTCCAGGTGGTTTGTGTGCACACACAAGCTTGACCGGTGCTGCTAACACACTGTGCATGGATGATGCACAGGGTTCGTATAAGAAAAAAAAGACCTTCTGGCAGCTCCCAGTTTTCAAATATCTACTATTCACCAGGCACTTGTAAATGGTTACTAAGTTTATTTATCATTTTTTAAAGCTTTTATTTATTTTTATGTACAAGAACTGGGGTGTAGGCCAGAGGTGTGGGATGGTGAGAGGATTCACCAGAGACAGAGTGGGGAGCAGAGCAGGCGAATCTATGGAAATCCACTGCTGAGGGGAGCAGCGGGAGAGACAAGAGAGGTCTGCTGTGCCGTGTGTGGGTTAGAGCTCTGGCTGGGAATTGAACTCAGATGGTAGCGTTGACAGTGCTGAGACTTAACCCCTAGGCCACGAGGGAGGCCCTCCCTAAGTTTAAATGCATTTTCTCACATAACCCTAGCAGTGACCCTATAGCTACTTTCATTATCCCAGCTAGACTTTTATTTGACAGATGAAGAAATTATATTTCAGACCCTTGCCCAAATCACTTAACCTTTCCAAGCCTCGGATTTGTTGTCTGCAGTGTGGGGACAATAGAGTCATGTTTCCCTGGCTGTTGTGAGGATTATTAGATAAGGTAGGGAGGATCATAGTCCCTGTGTGAAGGGCTCAGACCTGGCCACTGGGTGGCGCTCCCGGGACTGGCCCACAGTGGGGAAGCAGAAGCCAGTCCCCTTCTCCCTGTGGCTCCATCACACGCCTGCCTGGAGGCCCCTGACCACCTCATTTGTCTCTAAGTCAGCTTTGACACCTGCTCTCAAATTCTTTGTTTATCCCTCATGGGAAGCATGTTCTCATTTCTGATTCTATTCCTAGATGATGACAACAAAATCTATGTTTAGGATGACTCTAGATTGTGAGAGGCAGCTGCGATGAAGGTTGTGGGTACTGGAAAGTAATCTCCAGCTTACTGGAGGAGAGAAACCAATGCATTTCTCTTGGATGAAGAAGAAGGGGAAGACCTTTTGTTTGAGAGGCCACTTAGTAGGACTGTGAGTCCCTTTATTACCACAGGGACCATCCTCACCAGCTAGGCAATGCTCACCATGTTCCAAGGACCCGAGAGGTCGGGTCTGTGCCACATATCAAGCTGCAAGGGACGCGTCACCCTGAGTTCTGACTCTTCCTTGCTGTATGACAAAAGTAGAAGCTTGGAATCAGATATGACTTTCTCACAGGTGCATGACACAGGAACATATCATGTAACAACCCTGAGGAGTCTTAACTTTCTTATCTCTAAAATGGATTCTTGAATTAAATGAGAGAACATATGTATCACTCAAAGCACACAGTAGGCACTTTACAAATATTACCCCCCTGGCATCCTTCTTGCCTATTCTGTACTGTGTCTAACCCTTTGGTGGGCACTGAGAACAGAGATGGTCAGGTCCCTTCCCACTTGGGGATGCTATTTTCTTCTTTGATACTCGGGTGTGTCATTCTTCATAGGAAGGGAGCAAAAGGTCTGGGACAAAGCCAGAAGGCTGGGCAAAATCATGAGGCCTGCAGTTTGTAAGGACATGACAGAGCTGAGGCAAGATGGATGCCCAGCCTTGGTGTGCCCGCCTCAGTGAGCCCCAGCTTCCTCCCCTCCCCTCTAACACCTTCAGTGTCAGCATTCAACAGTCAAATGTTGCCAATGCTGATGGAGAATGGAGATCAGGGATGAAAGACAATTTATTCTCTATTTACATGATACTGCACCACGTGCTGAACCTTTTTGAAGATTCACTAGCTCATCAGATCAATACAACCCCTGGGCGAGGTGACAGGACAAGAATCACGCCCCACTCTCGCTGAATACATGGGTTCCCAGGAGGACCAGTGGCTGCTACTAAATCATCCATCAGAGCAACGGCAAGCTCAAGGACAAGGACCCTGGCTCCTGAGCCCTCCTAGTCCAGTCCTTTGTCTATGCCTTGGCCGTGTCTCTCCTGGGAAGTAGCCTTAATGCAATACTGTTAACTTTAGGAGACAATATCAGAAGTTAGTTTTCAGTTCCAGGTAGTGACAAAGTGGTTATGGTACCAATTTATCAAATTTCCCGTGAGGATGGGACTACCTTTTTTTTTTTTTTTTTTACAAGCCGTATACATCCAATTCAAACAAGCTTAAGGAAAAAAAAAAAAAAACTCAAAGGTCGAGGGGTTACATGAGTTGTTAAAGCTATCACCCCACTTCATTGAGGTAAATGCTTGTGACCTCTTTAGCTTCAAGTACAGAATATCTTAAGGTGTTTTGAAGAACGAAACGAGATCTTCAGTGCCCAGGGCAGGGGGTGGTCAGAGGTGGTGTTTGCATTCCAGCCCCATTGCTTCATCGCCAGAGTGTAACACGCAGTCAAGATTTATGGCAGTCTCCACCCACTTCCCTCAACAGGAGACTGTGTTCAACCGACAGCATGTAAAAGTGCAGGTTATTGTTTGTTTTTTAATAAAGATTTATTTATTTATGCTTACAAGAGCTGGGGGGTAGGCCAGAGGTGCAGGGTGGTGAGAGGATTCACCAGAGACAGAGTGGGGAGCAGAACAGGCAGATATGCTGAAATAATTGCTGAGGAGAGCAGCGGGCAAGTCAGGAGAGGTCTGCTGTGCCATGTGGGTAGCTCCCTGGCCGGGGATAGAACCCGTGCTGCAGTGGCTGATGGCAGCTTTATAGTGCTGAGACTTAACCCCTTGCACCACCAGGGAGGCCCAAAGAGTTATTTTTAAAGTTTTCCGAAAGTAACTGTTCTAATGAAAAGCAAAAGTGCCTCAAATCCACTTTGTTGAAAGAATCTGGGTACAACTTAGTATTAGGATGACAGTCATTTCAGTTTCCTTAAAAAAAAGAAAACCAGTAAAGCCATGAAAAGGATTTAAGCTTTTTATCCCTCTTCCTCGCTTCAGAGTCACAGTGGCTTTTGCAAGAGAACATGTCTGGCACTTGGTATCACAGAATCACGACACATTCAGAACACACCGAGTTCCAGCATCTCCCTCAAGGCCTGGAGGAGTGGCGGTTACAGGAGTCTGATGAGGGACAAGGCGACATGCCAGGGAAGCGAGAACCCCAAATTGAGCCTTGGCTTTGGCCGTGAGCGGTGACCCTGGGACATCCAGGCAGGACCAAACTCAAACCAGAGAAGCCCCACCCCAGGATCTAATGTGGCTGGCTGACGTGGGCAGAACACTCATTCAGGGCAAGTGTGAGCAGATTTAGAAAGCTGTGCAAGCCACGGAGGGATGCATCGCGTTCCTCCTGGTGGGGGTCCGGGGAGCTGCCTTAGTCTCCTCAATCAGCTCCCTGAGGCCAAGATCTCTGTCTCCTTTAGTCATTCAGCTTAGCTTTACCGGCACCTATTCTGTGCCAGGCCTGGCGCAGGTTGCAGAGGTCAAAGAAAGGAATCACAGTCCTGACCTTCAGGGAATTTAGAATATGATAGGAAAATCATGTATTTGTAAATAAGTCGTTGTGATTCAAAGTAAAAAGGACACAGAGAAGTCAGACAGACTTGACCCTCAGGAGTTTGCAGCCCAGCAGAGGCCTAGAGCCACACACAGAAAACTGTACAAGGCAACGCGTGGTGACAACCAAAGGGAGGCTCAGGCTGTACACGCCAGCAACAGATGGCAGGACATCTGCTGAATAATGCAGTGGGGGAAATCCACATAAAGACTGAGCAGTCTATTCTAGTCTAAGAGGAAGTATCAAGTCCCACTGTCCTGGGGGGTGGGGGGGAGGAGGAGAAGAGGGAGGCAGCATCAGGTTGAGCCCTGTGGGCATCCAGAGCTCCCCATAGGCAGGTGCAAGTTCTCTCCCCCTGCGGCTGCAGCTGCATGACATCCTGTGGGTGTCTTGGGAGACTGATGAGCAGGAGAAGCAGGGCCAAATGAAGCCTCCAAATAGCAAGGTGCTGAGGTAGATATCCGGAGCCCAGGAGTTAGGGCAAATGAGCAGGACCAGCAGGACTGACAGTGGGAGACAGGACTCGATGCCTACCAGCCACATGAGGCCCCTGCCTGTTTTCCTGCTCTTGCAGAGCCAGGCCATGTGCATTGGACAGAACCAGCCCAAGGGGCCAAGGACAGGGTGGGCATCTGGGGGCAAAGGACCACGACTGTAGTGGTCTTCTCCTCATGCCTCTAGATCATGAGTGTCCAGTCTGCGTTCCACTTATCTTCACAGCTACCATCACCTGCCTTACACTTTCCATTATAGCACCTCAAAGGGGACTGAATGGGCTCAGTTAAGATCTCAGCATTACAGTATAGGCCCGAGGGCCTGAAGACCTTGGGTACTGGCACAGAGCAGGAATACCCATCGTCATTTGTTAGTCGCCTGGAACATGGACAGGCTGAGGCAACTGAAAGGTACAGCGTTGGGTGGGAAGTTCTCTGCACCCTAGCCTGCTGGCCTGTATAGGCCTCTTACCCTTCCCACATGTTCTGGGGACAGCTCCAGCCTGTCATTTCTTCTTCACAGCAGCTACCACCTACAACACCCCTCCCTTCATGTCCGTGCCACTTTCTCTCCCTAAAGGTGTCAGGACACCTTCCTAAAGGTGTTTTCTCTGCACCGCTGCCATCACCTACTTTGTCTCCCTCTCTAGTTCTCATTCTGAGTTACCCCCATCCTAACCCTCTTGCTATTCCTGAAATGAGCATCAAGGTCCTTTCTCTATTACAGGTTTCACTGCTTGTCACTGAGGGGCGGCAAATACGAGGCAAAGAAAGGAGGAAACAGAGTAACTTAGAAAGGGATGAGAATAGTACTGGACACCTGTGCTCCCGGATAACCAGACACCTGTGCCCCCCACATGCATGGGGTTGAGGTTCCTTCCTTGACTCTCTTCTTGGAGAGTCCCAAAGAAGTCTTGATTCTCTCCATGCTTCAGCCCTGGTCGTAGAACTTAGCTGTCCTCCTTACTCCTACACAGTTGGAGTCAGGTGCTCAGGAAGGCTTGGCTGAACAAGAAGTTTCTAGTACTCAGGAGGGAACCGCCTTATAATCCTCACCTCTTCCCCTATTCCTCCCTGCACCACCAATTCCACCCACTCAGATCCCTCCCCCCTTCCACTTGGCAACTCAACAGGTCTTCTCTGACAGTGGGCTTCATATAAAGAAAGAGAGGTTAAGTATTTGTGTTTTTCACCCAATAACTGAAGGTCCAGGTAAATTTAGTAGGCACAAGCCCACATTTTAGTAGGCAATGCAGAGCCACAGGTGATTCTCAACCAATGAATGGCAATAAAAAGCACCTTATGTAGGCACAGGTACTCAAGAAATAGCTAGATAAGAGTATAAATGAGTGAATGAATGATTAGCATTGTGTATTGGGAAGGTAACTTTGGCAAATACAGGAAAGGTTAAGGAAATTTTAACTCACTCCAAGCTATGGGCTTAAACCAGATGAGAAAGCAGTTGAAGTTAATCTCCATTTAATCCTGCAGAACTCTTCCCCCATCAGACCAGTGAAACTGTTAACCTCTGGCCTCCCAAGCTTTGTGCCACAACCAAGACTTGCTTTCTGGGGTCATCACTCAGCATCAAGTTTACCTACCTGATACCAACTGAAGGCATTATCTTCCAGAAATAGGGACAAAAAATTAATTTTGCAGAATAGAATTTCTGTCACAACCCCAGGCTACAGGAGAAACCATCTGAGATGAGAGCAGCCCATGTGGCCCCATCTAGGAGCCCTAGCACCTGGAAAGTTCAGTTCAAATCTAGTAAAGCAGCACCCCTACTTCATAATGACCTCAGCTGATACAAACAGGCCTGATTCAGAGGTCTGGGGGTCCGAACACCTTCCTAATGGTGAAGACCTTCTCCATGAGTAAAGGAATAGCTGGGCCAGCACAACATTCTGAGACAAAAGAAATGGGAGGAAACCCAGCAGCCTGGATAAGCCATGGGGTGGGTGACTTCAGTCTCAATGAGGATAAAGCTAACACAGTGACGCCAGGAGCTGCCCTCATCCACAATTTAGACCCAGCATCTATGCACTAGCCCACCAGCAGCATTTATTTTCTTGAGTTTTCTCTCTCTCACAAAGAGGGAGATGCTGAGGCAGAGACTTTGGGAAGTTTTCACGTTTTGAAGTTCTAACCCATGTCCTTTTCCTATCAGGAACCATGCTCATAAATGAACTTCAGTGCCACCAGAAACACAAAATAGCGTTAAGGACCACTGTCACCTCACTGAGCTTTGCCTTTTCTCCCTAGGAGAGAGTGCTTTCAGGGGAGGAAGGGAAGGTTCAGCAGGGCTGCAAAGGTAGTTGACTTCACGATTCTCTTTGGCCAGTTCCTCTGGGACCAGAGCGTGCAGAGTTCTGAGCATGATTACAAGAGTGTGGGTGTTTTTGTTATTAAAAACAAACCAAACCATCCAGATATTCCTTCGTATTGCTACCTGCTGGTAACTTCCCACTTGGATGAGTGGTGAGTCATTTGAAAATGACTTTCATTTTGAGATGAGCGTGCAGACACCAGGACTTGCTGTCAGGGAGCCTGCAGGCACTCTGCCCCTGGTAAGGGGGGGAGGAGGAGAAATCACAGTATCGGTCCAGTCATTTCACAGGTGGAGACGGACCAGGGGCCTAGAGAGTTCAGGAGGCATGTCCAAGGTCCCAAAGCAAGGCAGCTCCTAGTGCAGTGCTCTTTCCATGGCAGTACTCACGGCCAAAGTTTCATTTTGCTCTTGGGAAAGGAGCAGTGAAAACAGGTAGGGAACAGAATATTGTTTTGGGGTTCTATGGAGACTTCAATGACCTCTGTTGTCCTGGTCTCCGTCACCCTGGCTGTGGTTTTTCTTGGTTTCCCTTCTATGGAAAGGTGCATGCTGAGCCAGTTAGCTCATTTTGAATTGGCTAGGGTTACTACCGGGACTGGTGCAGTTCCCTTGCACGTGGTTCAGGATATCTTGGCCTGTAAAGAGGCAGAAGGCAATCTGCTCACACTCACACTTGGTTCCACACTCAAACAAACACCCAAATAAACCCTCATTCTCCAGAACAGCCAGATCAGAGTAGCCACAGGGCCCATAGTGTAAGACCCAGGGCTCGGACCAGGACACAGCCTCCATGGGGTTCTGGTTGAGGTAGATGCCTAGGTCCACCCTCCGTTTCTTGCTGACTGGGTGTGAATACAAGAGCCATGATTTTGACAGTTTTGCAGCATCTTTGCCACTAGGATCCTGGCACCCATGTTGGAGCTCCAGGGGCGGAAAACTAACCACACTGCCCTGGCAGCCATGTGGGGGCTCATGGAGCTGATGGTTGAGGGTCACTGTCTGAAAGTGATCACCATGGTCAGTGCTGAGAGCCTCCGCTCGGTATCTGTTTGGTGTCCGTGCACTGCAATACAGCACAGGGTGGCCAGTAGACCTGATCACCTCTGCCACTTCACACTCTACTGTCACTGTGGACTTAATGAGTCTGCCACGGTGCCAGGTAGTTCCTAGGTCATCACTGTAGATCATCAGGGAATGAGGCCTGACTTTACATGGTAGCCGACAGCAAATAGACTGGTAAGGGATGTAGTAGGCATACGCAGGGATCACCAGTCGCCCCGACTGCAGCTGGATGCCATGACCTGGGCCCACAGCAAATGTGGCCCAGTGCTTCACGTCTGGCCCAATGACCTCTTCAGTCAGGTCCCTCACCTCGCTCCACGAATAGCCAAAATCCTGACTATAGATGAAGCAGAGGCGGGCAGCGTTCCTGCCTGACGCAATCTGTTGACACTCAGTGACGTGGTCCCGCACACAGATAAAGAAGAGGTACACGTGGCCATTCTTCTGCTCCCACACGGGACAGGGGTTCATGGTCCGATGCCCAGGTAATGTGGCTTCCATCAGTGGCTTTATGGGTTCCCACTAGAGGAGAGGAAGAGAGTGAGTACGGGAGGGAGAGGAAGACGTGAGGTTCACTGAAAGCATTAGCACGTTTCAGGGATAAGAAATAAATGTATTAGAATCTATAAAATTACAAAGGCCCAAGAATTCACTATATTTTCCACTACTACATGATGATTTTTTTGTTTTAATTTATTTTAATTTTAATACATTTTTAATTTATTTTTAATTGATTTTAATTTATTTTTGCATAGAAGAACTGGGATGTAGGCCAGAGGTGCAGAGGGTGAGAGGATTCACCAGAGGCAGAGTGGGGAAGAGAACAGGTGGGCTGACGGAAAAGCACTGCTGAGGGGAGCAGGAGGCAGGAAGCCAGAAGACAGGAGAGGTCTGCTGCACCACGAGTGGGTTAGCCTCCTGCTGGGAGTAGAACTCAAGCCACAGTGGCAGTAGCACTGAGACTTAATCCATCAGCCACCAGGAAGGTCCCTACACAAAGATTTACAAAGCTGAAGGGAGGCACTGCTAGCTTCTGCACATGCCGGCCCCTCTGTTGGGAGCTCGTCCTGTGTCTAGATGCCCACTCATCCTTCAAAACCCAACTCAAGTCATCTCCTTCAGGAACTTTCCATGAAACACTCTTCCCTGCCCTACCAAAGGCAATGGGTGGCTTCCTCTTTGTACATACAAAAGAATTACAGCACCTATTATATGATACTGTCTTTTTTTTTTTTTTAATGTGACTGGTTCTCCTCCGGGACTATGAGTTTTTTGAGGGAAGAAACCAAATTATTTTAAGTTTGCATCTCCAATGGCCAGCACATTAAGGGAAGCGAAGTATTTTTTAAAGAAAAACCCAAACAAAGGAAGAAAAACAAGGCAGACAAATATGGAAGTTTTAGGCAAATAAAGGGAGATTCATGACGAAGGTTTTTTTTCCCCTTCCTCTACTGCCCTGGGGATGCAATTCATCACAGCATTATTAAAAGCCCCAGCATGGAGCCGAAGACACCAAATTCAAATGCTGCCTTCATCGCTTATCATGAGATGTTGGGCAAGGTACTTAATCTTTACCCGTTTCTTCATCATTTCAACAGAGGATGTAATCATAGGCTCAACAGAGGAGTCATTATAAGGATGAAAGGAGATAAAGCCTAATCAGGCATGTCACAGACAGGCCTAATCTCTCTAGTAGTTTAGAATGTGGTAAGAACATTTCAAGATATTCAACAGCAACAGGCAAAGAGCAGAAAAGAGACAACAAAAAGAGAGAAAAAAAAAAAAGAAAGTATGTTCAACCTCACATATAAAAAGCGGAAAAATAAAATTAACAAAGTATTTATTGGTAACATCATAAACTTTGAAAACACTCTGTTGCAAAAATATAAAGGAACAGGCACTGTCACATCTGGATGGAGCACAAAATGGTTCAGCACTTATTTAGAACACATCAAAATTACAAACACATTTATATTTTCCCAGCCTGCTGAATTCTGGGAATGTATCCTAAGATATATCTGCTCATCAAATTAAATATTCTAAGATTACTCACTATGGCACTGCTTGAAACAGCAAAACCCAAATATACATCAATGGGGGACTCATTAAATGAACACATAAAGCAGGAGATGAATAAAGAAGGACGCCTTCTATATATTGATAAGGAAAGGTATCCATAATATGTGGATAAATGAACAAAGCAAATAGAGTGGTCTCTGTTCTGTACATAGCATAAGAAAAGTAAAGTGACTCCAATTACAGCACACTAGATAATTTGAACCAACCCTTCCACTGAGAACTAGCAATGATAGTTAAATATTAACACAAAAAAACCTACTTGAAAGCACCAGCGAGCAAACAAGGAAATGAAGAATTATTGCCTAAGAACTGAGAGAAGTTCAAGTCAGAGAGGCTGGCCAGGTATTTTGAGTTCTTTTCCCCTCTCTGGATATCTCTACTAATTCTCAAAGGGGTAACTGAGAGGCTGAGAAGTTGAGCAATTCATTTGACTGCTTCAGGGAGCTAGGACAAAAACTGGAGCCACTGGAAAACTTCCTATGCTTTGAGCTGGAGTCTTAAATACCTAAATCCCAGAGTCAGAGTGAAACCAAACAACCACCCCTCCAGAAACCTGGCTGGCTTTATCTACTGACATGAACATAGACACAGCGTGTGATCCAGTAATTCCATTTCTAAATGTGAAATGGAATTGTGGAGAAACTTGTGCTCTGTTGGGTATATAAAATGGTGCAGTCACTGTGGAAAGTAGTATGACAGTTCCTCAAAAATATAAAAATAGTTACCATATGATCCAGCAATTCCACTTCTAGGTACACGTCCAAAAGAATTAAAGCAAGGTTTCGAAGAGATATTTGCATAGCATGTTCAGAGCAGCATTATCCAAAAGATGGGGGCAACCCAGTCATTTGTGTTGGCAAACTCATTTATTTATCCACAGATGAATGAATAAATAAAATATATGATTCAACAAAATATTATTCAGTATTAAAAAAGGAAATTCTATCATATGTTGCAAGCTGGATAAACCTTGAGGACATTACATGAAATAAGCCAATCACAAAAAAGACAAATACTGCAAGATTTCATTTAATCAAACAGAAACAAAGTAGAATGGTGTTGCCAGAGGCTGGGGGGGTGAGAGAGAAAAGAGGACTTATTTAATGTATATAGAACTGTGGTAGAGAAATCTATTGTACACAATGTATATATAGTCAACAACCCTGTAATGTACACTTAAAATGGTTAAGAGGAAATTTTTGAGTTAGGTGTATTTTACCACATTGAAAAACTGGGAGTGAAAAAGATGCTGGTTTTAGTTGACTCTGTACTTAGCATTAGTCAACTGTTTTACACAGTTGTCAAAGAAGTAAATGCTACTTTATCTCAGACTGCAAAAAAAAAAAAAAAGAATTAAAGATGGGATAGCAACCTCATTGCTGAAATGATCAATCTGTCCCTGGAATACTCACTGAATTTTGAGTAGTCTTTGAAAAAGGACATCCAGACAACCCAGACCAGATCCTAAGGACAGTAAGCACAGTTTTCATGGAACCAGAAACCAGGTCAGGACTATGGCTTAATGAGCAACTAACAGAACCAAGCAACTAACAGAAGCTGTTGAACCCAGAAAATCAAAGACTAAAAGGGTATGGACACTACTTTCAGGTACATCAAAGAGCAGTTCCCGAGAAAAGGGACTTTCTATTTTGTGCAGATTGGCGGCCCAGGAACTGCCCGAGACCAACAGTCATTTTATAGAGAAGTGTAATCATTCCAAAAGAAAAGTTGCAATAGGATTAAATCCACATTCGAGGAGTTGTGTAAGGACACCTTTTATAGAAGATGACTAATGTTGAATATCCACTATGTAATTTCTATTATTAATTTCATTTTGCAGATGGTGAAATGGAGAAGGGTCAAGTATCCAAGGTCACACAGTCAATACATGGTAGGTCTTGGCTGACTCCAAAGCTATGCCCTTAATCACTATTAGTAGCTGCAATGCAATACAGAAGACTTCTGTATTAGGGGAAAAATTGGGCTAATGAGTCTTCTAATTTCAAGATTTTACAATTAGTTAAATCAAAGAATGAAAGTGAATAACATAGAGAATGAATCAAATTGGGCACATTTGTGAATGAGGTTATTTAACAGATATGATATAAACATATAACTACTCAATGGCCTATTATATAAAGCACGGTAATATGAGAACAGGCCAGGTCTGTGCTCCAGGCAGCAAAGGATCTAGAACTCCAAGCTGTGTTGCAAGCTGGGCTGCAGGGCTGGGCTCTGTGCAGGTCAGTGAAACAAGCAGGAGCAAAGGAGCCATAAAGACTCACAATAAGATAAGATAAGATAAGATAAGATAAGATAAGCAGAACATTCCCCCACAGGAAAATGTGAGCAAGCCATCAAAAGCTAAGACAGAGGTTGCTGACAAGGCCCGCCTTCGGTAGAACAGTACGTGCATTCTAATGGCAAAACAGGGCATCTGTGGACTAGAAGCTTCAATGCTGAGATTTCTCTAGCTAGAAAAGCAGAGCAGGTTAGGATTGAAGTATCTATTAGAAAGATCCACACACACACATATATAAATATATAGGTTAAAATATATATTAACATATAGTAAAAAACATATTTATAAGTATATATACATTTGCTTTTATTAAAAAATAATTGTTTTTCTCTCCAGAAATTCACTGACAAGGTCAAATTCATTGTCTCGCTTGATCCTCTCTTTAATCTTCTCTGGGAGATAAAGGAGAACGAGAGGAAGAAGAATGGGATCTGAAATAACCCCGAAGTTCATAGCCTACCGGCAGCAACCACACTGTCCCTCACTAAAAAGCAGTAAAATCATAGGCTACTTAGGGGAGAGGGTTCAACCCCAGTTCTTCCACTTAGCGCGGGTGTGCCCATGGTGAGTCATTTAATTCTCAGCCCCCATTTTCTCCTGTAACGTGGGGATAATAACCTCACGTGAGGAGTTTAGAAGCGGGTAAACGAGGAGGATTATGAATGTGTTGGTTTTTATCCTCTCCCTGATTCCCTGCTAACGGGTTGTGAAACACCAGTGTCCCTCAGCAAAACTGGACCGACAGGGCTCACTTCCCTGGTGACTTACGAAGAGGGAAAACAATGTAAATGGAAGGCACACCACGTGTTAGTTTAACGTGAGCAAACTACAGAGGTCTCTGGAGTCAGAGACTGAGTGTGCAGCCTGTTTCTATTGTTTCATTACGGCCCTGTGACCTTGAGCATGGGAACCTCTCTCTGAGCCTCAGTTTTCCCATCTGTAAAGGGAGACTGATGATAGTTTCCATCAGAGTGGCTGTGCGGATCCAAGTACTAAGTGAGAGCCACTGCTTTCCAATTTTTCCTCCTCAGCTCTCACAGGGCTTTCCCTGCCCTGATAAAGAAAAGTCACAGACCCTGCAGAGCTCTGCGCAATGTGGGAAGAAACCTTGGCCCAGGCCAAGATCTGGGGTGAGGAGTCACCTGTACTGAGTGCCCAGTCCTCCACCCTCTCCTCAGCACCATGTGGAGAGCATCCTCATCCTTGCACGTGGAACGCTTCTCTGCAAAGGCCAGGAAGGTACAGCTGGGAGGGATGTAAAGCAGGGCTGGGATCCGGTAGGTGACCCCACTCTTGTCTTCCTGCTGGAACAGAGGGCTGGTGAAGGAGCACGCTGTCGCTTCTTCCACGACCTCTGCAAGGATAGGAGGCAGTTAAGTGTGTGTCCGTACCTAAGTGCTGGTTCGTATCCAAATTCTGCTCTATCATTCCATTTCTGTAGATCCAGGGCAGCTCAGATTTACTCAAATGTTTATTATTTTTTTAATGTAAAGGTAACATCATGATCTTAACAGCACACAGCAAAATGCATCTGATTTTCCAAATGTATGCTCTAGCCTCTGTTGGGATCCTGTTCAGCCTGTGTCATGTGTGTCCCTCCAAGGGCTTCTGCCAAGCATCCAGGCATATGACCAGCCCGATGGTTTCAAATGTCAGTTTCTTGGCTTGGCATTTTTAGGCCATTCAGGTAATATAAATATAAACCCAAAACCATATGAGGGAATGTCTGTGGTTAAGAATTCTCCAGGGCAACTTTTTCCCTTTACTGGGGCCTAGGATAAGAGGCAATCTTTTTAGTCACCTCACAGTGTCAGCAGAGAATTCCCTTTTCCCTAGTCTACCCTATCAGAGGGTGCAGATCAGACAGAGCTTGTATATTTCCAAGACACCCAGCTTCATCCTTCAAAGTCTAAACCATGTGGCTCTGTGGTTTCATTCACTGTAATAGGAAGTCTACTAAACCCCCAATTTCTAGGTAAGTGAGACCAGCAAACATCCAGGGGAGCTAAGGTCATGTTAAGGGGCTGAGTTTACTCTTGGTTTTTAGGCCCCTGAAAATTTATCTTACTTTCCTGAAAATTCAACTGTGAAGGACGTTGCTATATTTTCCTGCCATTTTAGGGGTAAGCTAGCCTGCCATAATGCTGAAAATGGGAGTTTCCAAGTACACTTCTCAGAGGAAATCAGGTGTTCTACTTCTCAGAGGCCCAAAAAAGGAATCACTCCAGGCAGAACAAGACTTAGAATTCTTCTTTTCCCCTCTCACCATTCAAGCTCTATCTTATAAATCATTTGTAAAAGCTATCAGGTTGTATGAGTGAGGCTCCTAAGACTTTACTCATTGACTTAATTAATATTTCTGGGTCCCTGCTCCAAATCAAACTATGAGGCAGATATTGAGGAGACAAGAATCAGAGGTTCCTGTCTTCAAGAAACCTGCATACAAGTGAGGTAAACAGACATAGAGTATTACAATATGATGCAATAAGCACCACTATAGAGGTAAACCTGGCATGCAGGAAAAGAGAAAAGGCATCTGTCAAAATCAAGGAGCAGAGGATTTAGGGATGGTAATAACTGAGCCAAGCAACCCTGTGAGATATCTCCGCTACTCTTTGACAGGAACATTCTTCTTTCAGATAGTCACAGAACTCCCTCCCTCCCCTCCTTTCCTGAAAACTTCCCTGCTAACCCCTTTCCCTGTTCTGAGCTCCATATCATCTTGCCATCCATGCAGTCTCCTTGTTTTATCCTACAAAAGTTTCAAAAATAGCAGATATGTCGGTTTTATTCACCACTATACCTTTATACCTAAAACCATGCAGGGTAACTGAACAGGCACTCAACAAATTTCTTGAGCGGTTGAGCTGGATTTTAAAGGATGAATAACTGATTACCCAATTGAAGGGTGAAAAGGAAAAGAGCAGAGGAATTGGGTATGAAAAGCCTGTAAGTAACAGAAAACATAGTGAGCATGTTCTAGTTTTTTATTTGAAACCTGTGTTGATGTGTTGATGATGATAATAATAACAGCCACAATTGCAATTCCCCTTCTTAAATGCATTCAAATCCCTCTATACCTCAGCAAGAGATCACCTGGTACACTCAAGTTAACACTTTAATTACATGAGTTAATACCAACACTATCAATCATCAGTCATCATGTGATTACTAATTAACATATAAACAGGAATTCTCTAGGTGATAAGCAGAATGAAGCACAGGCCAGGCATGCAAGGAATGAAACATTAAGTGGAGCAAGCACCAAAGAAGGAAAGCGTAACTTGTCAAACGGGACTGGATTCATGGTACTTCTTAGTGTATATGACCTTGCAATAGTCACTTATCTCTTCAGGCCTTGGATTCCTTATTTGTAAAGCATGAGTAATAATACAAAAACCTACTTAAGGTGATCAATTTGGAAAACTACTCTGAAGTGCGTTATAAACTTTAAAGCACAATCTAAAAGTTTTTATTATCAATTTCGATGTCTTCACAAATTCACTATGGCTTTGCTACAACTTTAACAATTAAAATTGTTATCATTAATTTTTATTATCATGTTGCTGACCATGCTGATCATGTTGATGACAGTGGTAACACAGGAGTTTTGGCCCCTGCACCGACACCCAAGCTATTTCAAAAGAACCATATGCTGGGAACTAGGGATAGAGAAGAATCATATATAATTCTGCCTTGGAGGTGTTCATTTCATCAGAGAACTCAAATTATGAACTGCTGCTTCAAAAACCACCTTTCAATCAAGTCCTCCCTATCTTGGTAGGAGAGGCTACCGTGTAGCTTGGACGATGAAGTCTGACCTGCCTCTGACAGTGACTAGCAAGTCACTTAACCTCACCTCTGGGCCTTAGTTTCCTCGCTTGTAATGGTGCTAACATCATCTGTTTCTCCAGCTACAAGAATAATGTAACTTCACAGCCTCCAATTAATCTAGTGCAGCAGGTGGCCGCCAGTGAACCACACGATGCCTCCGAAAAACTAATATTCACTCCTAATAACTAATTCACTCCTAACAACTAATATTTGGAGGACCTAGCATGTGTCAGGCCTTTGGGGACCCTGTAGTCCAAACCCCTCTCCCGGCACAGATGGGAAACCCCCGGCCCAGCCGGGCAATGAACTCGTATAAGGCCATTCACTGACTCAGTGGCGAAACCTGGACCCTAAACACCCAGGTCCCTAAACTCCAGTTCGGGGCTCACTGGTGCCCACAGACCCGTCTGTGGAAGGATTTTCCGTCTCAGCTCCCCGTCAGTTCCAAAATGCTAGTTCTAAGGTTTAGGTTGGGCTTCAGAGGAAGGAGACAAAAATAGAACGAGCTAAGAACACTCTCTGGCTGCGTCTGAGCTCCTGGTCGACTGGGTGGCTCGCATTCGGGGTCCCCCACCCCCTCAGGCTGGGTTTCTTAGGCCCTGATGGTGCTGCCGAACCCGTCCCCAGGGTCAAGGCGCCCAGCTTTTCGGGAGGCTCTCGGGTGTCGGCCCGGCTCACCTGCGCGGCACCCCAGCTCCTCCATCTCTCTCAGCTGGGGTGCGCAGGGCTTGGTCCTCGGGACCGACGCCGAAGCCGGGGAGAACGGCCGAGGCTGGGAGACACAGGGAGCGAGAGCGCGGACCCCGACAAGCGGCACGGAAAGCCCAGCGACCGCCAGGCTGACAGCGCCGGCCCCGGCGGGGCGCGCGGAGAAGCCCGCGAGGGCGGGGAGGCGGGGCGCGGGGCGCCGCGGGGGGAACCCCGGTTGGCCGCCGCCGGAGCCAGCTCCGCCTCCGCGGCCTGCCCCGCCCCGCGCCCCGCCTCGCGGGAGCCCGGCCCGGCCTCTTCCTCTCCGGTCACCACCCGCCGCAGCTCAGGTGCCGGGTCCCCCGCACCCTCCATCCCGGGCCGCGGACGGCTTCCGGGCCGCGGACGGCCGTGCCCGCTGCGCGATTGGCTGGCGGCGTCCACAGGTGTCGCCGCCTAAAACGTCCCTGGGGAGCTGCTGGGCACGGCGCGAAGGTTCCGGGCTTCTGAGGGGCCGCCCCCGAAAGGCCGGGGACTCAGAGCCCTGGCCGACGCTTAAAAAATTATATTGGTCTCCCTGGTGGCGCAGCGGTTGAGTGCGGGCTTTCAAAGCTGCCCGCAGCCTCTGCAGCACTGGTTCGATTCCCGGCTCCTCCCCAGCCACCAGAGGAGGGTCCCACATGGCGCGCAGACCTCTCCTGCCGCCCGCTGCTCCCCTCAGCAGTGTCCTTCGGTCCTTCTGCCTGCTCTGCTCCCCGCTCTGGCTCTGGTGAATTCTCTCACCCTCCCGCGCTTCTGACTGTACCCAATGCTTGTATAAATAAATAAATAAATCTTTAAAAAAAAATTATATTGACATATATGCTATGTGTGTGTATTAATACCATTTGTATTTGATTATAATCCAGTGAATAAAATGAAAACCCTTGAATGCATATTGAAGTCAACAATTGAATAAATAGGGAAGGACACGCTTTCTTTTCTTTACAACGGAATTCCAAGTAATAAACGCAGGCTGTGTGCCGACGATTTTAAACTCAGTATGGTTGATGCTGATTTCCTGATTTCCTACTTGGATTCTGGAATTTTGCTACCTGCCAAGCAGAGGGTGCCCACATGTTCAGCCTGCAACAAAAACTGGGGGTGCTCTAATGGGTTCCACCTAGGCAGAAATAAGGCACACACGTCGCTGCATTTTCATTGCTGGGGGAAAGGATGCTTCATGCCATCTCTCATGACAGAGAAGACAGCCTAAGGAAGCCTACACGTGGACACCTTTCCCCCTGCATATCAGATGTGTGTCCTTATTACATTGCTTTAATACATCCTAGCAGTGAGTACAACTGTATGGTGAGTCCTGTCGGTCATTAACCTAGGGATGATCTTGGGAACCCAAAACCAAATACAATATATAGAGTTTTAAAACAATAGTATGTATTAATATATACCATTATTATATATACTCTATATTATGTATATATCTACATATCATGTGTATATTATATATGTATATACTATATATTATTAATACATGTTGTTATCAATGGACACATGTATGGAAAAAATACATGGGAATAATAAATACTATCAATAATTCCAGAATAATGGTCACCTTCTGGAGCACAGTTAAGTAGAATGTGATTTAGGATACTAAGGGATTTCAATTGTATCCGTAATTTTTTTTAAGGGTGGCAGTAGTTTCATGGTGTTCATTTTATTATTCTTTAAACCTTACCATTTGCCCAAAATATTTCATTTTTGTAAATTAGCTCATATGAAGTCTGAGGGTTCTTCAGCGGCTTCAAGCTCTCAATAGGCATACACTGTGGATCACCAAGCAAATTTCAGAAAAATATCTAAAGTCAATGACAAATCTCAATTCTTCTTTGACTGGTGTCTCAGCCTATGCCTGAGGCAGTGGGATTTAGTAGCAATCTCTACATTTGGATGGAAGCAAGAGATCTTTGCTTCAATCCTGACTTCCTACTTTCTAGCAGTGACTGGCAAATGAGTTAACTTCTGTGCATCAGGTTCCTCACCTGTAAATGGATACACTTGGCTCTATCTTCATTCATGGCTCAGCCCAAGTGAGTTTCATTTCCTACATAAGGATCTCCCAGTTTCTATGCTGAAACAGTCACTCCTTTTCAAGCCTCCATAGCACTTTGAACCAATGGCTTCTGATGAATTTTCTGAGAATGCTACTCCATTGGCTTCATCTGACAGAAAAGGAACCAAACCATTCTATCATTGTCACGCAGTATTTAATTATGGATACTATCACCAGAACTCCAAGCAACAGGCTGAGTCCAACCTGCAGAACTGACCTCAAACTTACCCAAGGGCATTGACTTAGCCAGCTGGAAAAACAAACAACAAAAACAAACATAAGCCATCATGATCTACCTTAGAAAGCCAGGTGTCATTCTCTAGTTTATGTGTTGACTTTGAAACTGGCCTGAGGCATTAATTTAAGTACAACTGGGTGTATTACCATTGCAGACTAATCACCACATAAGGAAATCAAGAGTAGTCTACCCTCCACAACCAAACCTTGGTGGTCAGGACGGTGTAATGGCAGGACAGGCCACATTGAGGTTTTCTATGATCCAGCAGACTGAGTAAAGGAGGAGTCAGAGTCCTCAGTGGTTTTGCAGGTTTTTATTGGGATTACCAGGTATACAGCAGGCAGGGGCGCTGGGGTCCTGTAGGCTGGCAGGCCTCCCAGCCCCCAGCAGGTCTTCACTCTGGGCTCTCCGGCCTTCTCTCGGCTTCTACTGGCATCCCTGCGACGCCGCCCTTAAAAGCCCAATCGAATCCCATCTACCTATGCCCACACCCTACTCCAGGTGCCTGCCATAGGGCATGCATTCAGGACCGCAGGGTTCCGTCATCTATCCTAATGGCGGGAGGGTAGAAAAGCCTGATATCTTTTATCTTACCCTACAGATGGTCATTTGTTATTTCTGCTTGTCTTGCAGGAATAGCAGGGCAGGCTTGCAACAATGCAGCAAAAATACCCCTACCTATTTTAAACAAGGGGAAAAAACTTGATTTACCTTAAGTTGATAAGTTGTTTCAGAGCATAGACCCAGGAGGGTGTTCCTTCTCCTTGTGGTGATAGCTCATCGCCTAGACCCGATATAGCTGTGGAAGATGCCTGACTTGTGGTCAAATGCATAACATTCACAGGCAAGGGTGCGCAGTCTGGTTTGGATCCAAATTCATGTTACACCATGATTTAGCAGAAAGCAATTAATCAAAGTCTACGAACTTGCATTTTCTACACATGTTCTTCAACCCTGTAAATACTACTCAAGGTCCCATCCTCAGGGAGAGTGGTTTGAGAAGCCTGCCTCCAGTCTTCAGCCAAGTGACCCTGCTTTAACAGGTTCTTTTCTCAAAAGCTGGTGGCACGTTTTTGTTTCTGTGCCATCAGCTAAGTAGTGGATCTACTAACCATGCTGGCTAGTGAACTGAGGTTGACCTGATTTTCATATCAACTTTTCTAATAGTGTAACAGGGTAGTCCCCTTTCTAACAACAGGACAGCTCTTAAGATACGGCTAGCCTTCTACAGGGTGTACATAAATTAGCCAGTCACCCCTCCCAAAGCCCCCATGTAATTATTGACCTCAAAAAGGAAATCATCTGTTACATCCACAAACAAGTTTAATTCAGGAACAAAAAAAGGAGAAACTGGCAGACAAGAGTACATTCTCAGTAAGAAAAGGAAACAGGGGGAGATGCAAGACATTATGGGTTCTGTAGTTTGCTGGTTTACCAATGCTGGTAATCTCTACCTCCCAACCTCATTTGAATAGGCCTGAATATTAATGTTCACATAACCAAGGGTAGATTAATTTTGGAGCAATCTCCATAGTCATTTGAGGACCAGATGATCTAGTGGTGGTGTTTCTTTAAACACTTGATGGTTGCTTATGACCCCTCCTGTGGTGTAAGGCACCATGTTTTCGGAGACAAAAACAAACTAATGCTGGCTTTCACACAGTCCTAGGAAAGAGTACCAGGGCCATTTATAATGTCCCTGTTTACAACTGTTGGGGTCTTCTAACAGGGGCACAGGCTGATAATATCCTTAATGTGGTCTTCTAGCCACAGGCTCCTGGAGAGCCCTAATAGAGTATTCAAGATACTGTGACATCTTACTGGGGACAGTTGTATTCAGTGACCAAATTGCCATACTAAGCTGTAGTAACCTGGATGAAATAAGAAAGACAGTCACAAATCTTTTGAATTTATTCGAGTGAATTCCAACATTCAATGAAGATGGAAGACCCATCAAATACCTTAAGTTGATAAGCTGTTTCAGAGCATAGACCCAGGAGGGTGTTCCTTTTCCTTGTGGTGATAGCTCATCACGTGGACCCAATTTAGCTGTGGAAGATGCATTTGACTCATGGTCAAATGCATAACATTCACAAACAAGGGTGCGCAGTCTGGTTTGGATCCAAATTCAAGTTGCTATCAGCACTTTGTTGAGCGGCTTTTGCAATCAAAGCTGTACCATTGTCAGACTGCTTATGGTGATGCAACAAAAACATGAGATAGATTTGTGATTTGTCTGGAGGATTGGAGTTGACTGAGTGGACTAGAAGAGTAAAACTGTAATTATACGTGCCCAAAGTGGTGAGGCACTACTGAGAACCCCGAAAGGGAGCCCAAGCTCTCAATCTACCTGGAGTGGGTGGAGGCCTTGATCCATTTGGCCTCCTTCACAGGTTGGCAAACAGATCTTCTGACTGGGGTCTTATGCTTTGTGCCCAGGCAAATGATGGTGAGTGAAATGCCATCTCTGGCATGAGGAGGGCTCCAGGCAACAACAGTGGTAATCTGAGTGGTACAGGCTCTGTTGGAAGTTTGATTCCAGTTGATCTCATCAATGTGTCACCACTGTGGGCATGGCATAAATGACGCAAACAGTTCAACTAAGAGCTATAATTCATTTCTAGTTTATGGCCCCAAAGAATGCCTTTAATCTAACCATCTGTAGTCTTCCAAGTGACACACCTAAAGACTAGAACTGAATCAGTAAACATATATCTGATCCCTAGAAATACCATCTAGCAACCAGCCAGTTTTCAATTTAGCCAGTTGTGTTCATCAACCTCACTGTAGTCAGTCTT